ATTAAGTATTTATCTATGCTAAGGATAGATCCTTTTTGTCCAACTTGTTGCGACCGGTTCGTGGGATTTTTTTTTTTGCAGATCGTCTTTATAGCTTCACTTTCGTTTCTTTATTTTGTCTCCAATGCTGGCTGCTCTGCTCCCTGTGTGTGGGGGTATCTCGCTTGGCTCCCCCGCAAGGCCCTCGAGAATTATGTCGGGCAACAATGTATTCTGTGCAAAGCTCCAGTCCATTTAAGCATGTGATTACGGTCCCATGAAAAACAGTGAAAACCGGAAATTTTCATGAATTTATCCCCTCTTGGCACCCTGGACAGGATGTAAATAGTGGACATGTCTGGGCAAAAGAGGACGTTTAGTCACCCTACTTCACTCTGTCCCACAGGAGCGAACGCCAGCAGGGAGGAGATTATCGTTTCTGAAAGCCGAGAACAAAATCCACACAGATCAATGAGTCAGAGCTGTGTTTGACAGCTTTATTAACGCTGGCTGTGTCTCAGGGTCTGTCTCTGTGCTTCCAAAACACCAAACTCAATTAATTAAGAAGCACTTCATTTATACCAGAGGGAAATTAAATGTTGCTGGAGCTCATTTAGTTAAGGAGTTATTACAGATAGTGATCGCACAAAGACACACAATGGCTCACCGAAGAGACAAAAAAATGACCAGAAACGGGCAGAAATTGACCAGAAAACACACAAAATAAAGGAAAATAAACTTATCAGGCTCAAAACTACCAGAAAAACCATACAAAGACACATGAAACCACCATAAGGAGCCATAAAATTAACAAAAAAAGGCAGAATTTGACCAGATAAAACACAGAAAAAGAACGAAAATAAACTTATCAGGCACAAAACAACCCGAAAAACCCAATAAATGGAGAAAAACAAATAAAACCAACACAAAGGTGAACCATTTTGAAACAGAAAATGACCATAAAGAGAGGAAACATGAAGCGATAACACAGAAAACAAGCAGAAAGAGCTCTGAGAGCTAATTTAAAGGTCAGCGTGTGAAATAAAGTACCAAAATTACCAAAAACAGGCAGAATTTGACCAACAAAAAAAAAAGGAATTAAGCTAAATTAGCTTTTATCAAGAGAAGAGAGAAGTTTAAGCTGATTCTGAGAAGAAAAAGGAACCTTTAGCTGCTCCTCTTTCGGGTTTAACTCAGAAACAACTTGGACTTCTTTATACCTGGGAGCTCTTCCCGGTGTCTGTCGGTGGTTTTTAATAAAAGACAAGGCCACTTCCTGACTGGATCCTTCGGCTTCACCCTGCAGGTCAGGAGAGGAAGTACGAGGTGAGGAAGAGGAGGGTCCTGCGGGGGCGGTCGGTGCCCCACTATGCAGCGGTGGAGCCTGGAGGGAAGGGGCTGATGGTGGCCTCCGAGAGGCCCTTTGCTTTCACGCATGTGGACGGCCAACCCGTCGTCCAGCCAGAACCGGAGCCCATGGAGGAGGACAAAGCAGGTGGGGACAATCTGTTAAATTTTGAGCCCATACACGGTGGACAATGACACTTTTTTTTTTAGCTAGATTAAACTTTGATTGACTTGGAATTGACTGGGAAACAATATATAGATAGATAAATGGATGGATGAAGTACATCAGGGGATATAGATCACAGGTTATGCATCAAAAGATATAAATCCAAAGCGATCAACAGACCAAAGAATGTATTAAAAGACCAATCAAAAGGATTTAAATCAAAGAATGAAGATCGATAGAGATGGATCAGAAGAGATGGACAGATCCATAAAATGATCAATTAAAGCATATAGATAAAAAGATAAGATAAAAAGATAGAAGGATGTAGATAAAAAGATAGATAAAACGATTTAGATAAAGGGATAGATAAAAAGGATATAGATACAAAGATAAAATGATATAGAAAGAAAGATGTAGAGAAGAAGATAGATAAAGGGATAGATATAAAAGGATATAGATTAAAGGATGAAAGGATAGATTAAAAAGGATATAGATAAAAGATATAGATACAAAGATTTAGTTCTAAAGATGAGATCAATTCAGCTCTCTCAGAAAACGGAAAAGAAGAAAAAGCAGCTCCAAGCTCCCGTTTATCAGCAGCAAATGAAAAGGAGTTGACTGATAAAGGAAGAATTCAGGGGGGCTTTATTTCAGAAACATTTGTCATTGAACAGCCTCTGACTCATCAGGCAGAGCCGTCCTCCGCCTCTCCTTTAACAGAGACGGAGGCCACTCATCCTTTACAGCCAGCATGACCTTCCACTTCCTCTTTTCTGGGGCTGAGTGTGTGTTTGAGACCAGCAGAAGCAGCTCGCTGTGGCCTCCATGAAGCAGAGCCCGACGCCCAGCAGGAACCGTTCAATTCAATTCAGCTTTATTCAATTCAGCCAAATCCCAACAGCAGTTATCTGACAGCTTTCCAAACATAGCAGGTCAGACCGAACTCTGAGTTATTTACAGGAGCACAATAGTTCCCACCAAAAAAGCACCAGGAGACACAGGGAAGGAAAAACTGCCTTTAGGAGGAAGAAACCTCAAGCCAAGGGGCTTTTTGTGTCAAAAAGTGGGGGGGAAATGGGGGGTCTGTTTCCTGAAGAGAGCAAAGAGCTCCTTCTTTCCTTCCTTCCTTCCTTCCTTTCAATTCTTCCTTCTTCCCTTCCTTCCTTCCTTCCTTCCTTCAATACTTCCCTAAATTCTTCCTTCCTTCCTTAAATCCTTCCTTTAATTCTTCCTTCCTTAAATCTTTCCTTCCCTCCTTCCTTCCTTATATACATTTAATCCCTGATTGTTTTATGTTGTTTATCTTATTTATTTATTTTTATCTTTATTTTCTGCCTTTAAGCTCTCGATAAAGCCCTTTGAATTGCCTTTATGCAAACAATCCTTCCTTTCCTGTCTGATTTCCTGCTCCGGATCGGATGCTAGACGCCGGCTAAATGCTGGACTGGTCAGCCCAAACTGCCCATTTCTCTCCTTCTGAATTCAGATCCCATCTACTTCTGGCAGCAGACGGACGAGGACGTCACCGTTTGTGTGCGGACGCCCGAAGGCGTCACGAAAGAGGACGTCCAGTTCAAGTTGAAGGCGGATAGCCTGAGCGTGGGGCTCCGGGGCTTCGCCCCCTTACTGGCTGGCCAGCTGTACGCCCCTGTGGACCCGGAGGCCAGTACCTGGATCATCAAGGACGAAAAAAGGTTTGCAACCAGGTTTCTGCTGCCGTCCTGTTTCCTCTTTAGCTGCAGAGAGCCTCAAAATCCACAGGACCAGAGGCCCCTTTGGATCAGGAAGTAGAGTGAAAAAATGGGTAATGGGTGCTGGAACATGGCGGACATCTTGAAAGCCGCCATGTTGGATCAGGGGGGAGTTTTTCAGATGGGAAGGTGGTCGTGTCCCATATCAAAGAGGAGCAAAACTGGGTTGGAAGTCGGTTTCTGAAATCAGATTAGCAAAATCTATTAAGTTTCAAAGGATGGGATACTGCACATTGTAGGGTAAAAAAATGTGATATTGGTCAAAACTAAATATTTCACATTGTAGAGTAAAAAACTTTAAATATTTCAATTGGAAGGGTAAAACGGTGTACATTTTCCACATTTTAGGGTTAAAAAAAAGTTAATATTACTCATTGTATGGTTAAAAATGTCAACATTTCATATTGTAGAGTAAAAAACTGTAAAAATATAAATTTGTATCAAAAACTGTAAATATAGCACATTTGTAGGTTAAAAAGAAAACAATATTTTTTACATTTTAGAATAAAAACTGAAGGGTAAAATAATGTAAAAAAATTGCACATTGTTGGGTAAAAAACTAAATGTTGCACATTGTAGGATAAAGTATAAATATTCCACATTGTAGGGTAAAAAAATAGTAAATGTTGCACATTCTAGGGTAAAAAAACTAAATATTCCAACTTGTAGAATAAAAATTTTAAATATAGCTTATCACTATTATCATTATTGTATTTTTCTCTATGCTCTCACTAAAAGAATAACTTCCTGTCCTGGTTTTTCTTTGTATTCCCTCTGAATAATGTCATTATAATCTAATTTCTGTGCTGGATGGAACGATGCGGCTGATTCACTTCCCCCTTAGAGGCTTTTTCTGTGCGTTTCTGCTTCCTGTTTCTCAAACCGGAGCGCTCGGTGAGAGCCGAGTGACGCAGTCTGCTGGTTAGTTTTCTGATGGGTTGAAATGCTGCTTTATGTGAGAGGGAAAGGAAAGACGTGTAAAAGGGAGCTGGTTTTAACAGAGAGTGGCTCTCTTTTCTCTTTCTGTAAAAGGTGGATTTCATCATCGGGGACCTCTTGACTTCCTCTTTGTTTGGATGCTGGATTCATCCAGATGCCCCATTTAAGCTTTTTGTCCCTCAGAAATGGCAGATTCTGTTTTTTCCTTAAAAAAAAAAAAAGTTATTTAGCTTAATTTGTGGCTCTGACACCAAAATGCTGGTCGTCGCAGCTTTAAAGCGCCGGTTTAAAGTCCTTCCTTCCTTCCTTCCGTCCTTCCATCCATCCATCCATCCATCCAGGTTCTCGGGAACCAGAACCAGAACCATGCAGCCTGAGAGCAAAGAGCTCACGGAGCTTCAGAGCTCAGTTTCCAGTTAAAAGATAGTTAAGAAGTGCAATAAATGGGAAAAATTAGGAACTTTTTAGTTGGTTTAAATTGCGCTTTAGATTTGATTTAATTGGATTGGATGGAAAATCACAAAGGTTAGTTAAAGCTCTCCTCACTCAGTAGGAAACATAACGAGGAGCTTGATTTTATGCTAATTTTATTCAGTGCATTCACATTTTTACCTCGAATCCTGGAGGACTGCTGCTCATTAGCATCTTTTAGCAGCATAAAACACATCAGCACTCTTCTGCCACTTCATATTTTAGTGGGAGAAGATACATATTCATTCTTTGAAGGGTTTAGATGCAAAACAGCTTTCTTTCCTCCTGTTTTCTCTTCCTTGAAACCTGTTGTAGCCACTTTTAACATTGCGCTGGTTTTAGATTAAACGAGTTGCAAAGAAAGTTAGTGGATTTATTGTCTAATAAGAGTTAACACAAGCAGCAAACCACCATGTTTATCCTCAGATGTGCCTTTTTTATCGCTGTCAGCTTTAATTATACGTTTATGGCTTAAAAAAGAGACGTCAAGCAGACAAGATGTCAGGCTTTGGATTCCTGTGCAGAAACTCTTTGTTGCATCTCATCAAAATGTGCAAAAAGTAGAATAACAGACGACTGTGTAGATCCCATCTATGGAAAATATTTTATCCTTTTAATTTCAGCTCCGTGGACGTTTAAAAAAATAAATTAGTCAAAAACTAACTTGTTTATATATTTTGATAATTTGGTTAATTTCTTTGCTTTTTTAGTTTGATAAATTCAGTTTTTCCATAAATGAATAGTATATAAATAAACGAACAATGATTAAAATTATTTAAGGTTATTAATTGAAAAAGAAAAAAAATTTGAATTACATTACGTTTCAATTTCTAAACCTTAATTTTAAAACCTTTCATTTAAAATTTTATTTAATTATTAATTTTAAAAAGGAAGGGCAGGATTCAAACCAGGGCCAAATTGGCCAATCGGAGCAGGGCTTGCTGAGAAAGGAGAGGATACTATGTGTGATCCATTTAAATGGAGGAACATCTATGTGGGAAATTCTATAGAAAAACACAGAAAAATCAGCTTTTTAGGTCTTCAGACGAAGGAAAATCATTGAAAAATCTGCTTTTTAGGTCTTTAGATGAAGGAGAATCATTGTTGTGTTCAAAGAGCTCAGAAATCGGAGCGCTTCTTTGACGCCGACTGTGTCCTCAGCCTGGAGCTCAGCCTGCAGAAGCGCAGCGAGGGGCCCATGTGGCCGGAGCTGGTGATGGGCGACCGGAGGGGCCAGTTCATGATGAGCCAGGAGCAGGCCGACTTACTCCACCAGAGGCTGACACACCTCACCTCCGACGAGCTGGTGAGCCCCCCAGAGGGAGGAGAGTGGCATCATGGGAGCCCAGAGGGAGGAGAGGGGCATGATGGGAGTCCCCCAGCAGAACTTTGGGGTGTTTCAGGGTCTCTGAGTGTTTGTAATTATCAGCTTTATCAGAAAGGAAAGTCTGATCTGTTTCCTGAAACCAAACTGGTTCTTTTGGAGGGGGTCTCCTTCTTCTTCTTCTTCTTCTCCTCCTTATTCTTCTTCGTCTTTATCTTCTTATTCTCCTTCCTCCTCTTCTTCTACTGCTCCTCCATCCACTCCCTCCTCCTGCCTTCAGCCTCCTTAATTATCATCTGGGCCCACTTGAGTCCCCCCCCTCCCCATGCAGACCAAACCTTTTACATGCTAATAAATGCAAAACAGGAGTGCCCTCAGCTTTAGTTGACCCCCCTCTTCCCATCCTGTGTGGGCAGAATGGAAACCCGGACGGGGACAAGCCGCCCTGTAACTCCCAGGAGCTGGAGGACTGCGACGGCTTCCCAGACGACTGCTCCAGCCTCACCCGCTTCGACGAGGAGACGCTCAGGCCCACCCAGGTGGTGAGTTTCAGTCTCAGGCCTTCATTTATGAGGACATTTTTGTCCCTTATTGACACCCGTACTCCAAGTCTTCAGTGTTGATTAGATTTTATGGAAAAGAAATAACGAAAAAAACTCAAGATTTCAAATGATTTCAGTCGTTACGGGCAAAAATGTCTATTAAGAATACACATATTTTCTCTTTTGGGGGGAGGAAACTACCAGTTTTAGAGATTCCTGCTAGAAAAAATCATGAAAAAACTACCAAACACCCAATATTTTCGAGGATTTTAGTCATTAACGGCAATAATGCCCGTTAAAAATACACTCAAATAGATGAGATTTTGATGTTTTCTTTACTTTTTTGAGAGGAAACGATCAGTTTTAGAGATTTCTGCAAGAAAAAAATCATGAAAAACTACCAAACACTCAAGATTTCTTAGGTTTTAGTCATTAAGGGACCGTTTCAATAAATAATTTATGTTTTATTTAATTGTATTTGATTAAAAACAAAAATAAGTATTACTTGCTGATTTTCGAGTAGTTTTAGATCTTCTCCTCACTTATAAAATACTTTTTTGTTGACTATGGACTGTTTTCTGAGCCAAAACCGGCAAAAGGGATCCAGATTCCAGTAATTTTTTCATCCTTTCTCTTGTGGATAAAAAGGACATTTTAGAAGGACCATTTTCTTTAAAAAAAAAAAAGAAATAAAAATATTTAAGCCTTCCTGCTTTTTTCTGTGGACCGGATGAACCAGGCTCACAGACGAGGAGCTGAACATGAAAACCTTCTGCTGGATGATGCATTTACAGCCACAAGTGAATGTTTCTTCCACAAAGCCGCCAGGTTTTAAAAGCTTTTCTCTTCCTCGTTCTTGTGTTTGATTCGCACAAAAGCATCGATGTTATGGTGACTCACTCCCGGCTCAAACCCTCCCACAGCCGGCTCAGATGGAGCCTTTTATTTTGCACAGAAAGGCTGGAAAGTGTTCGAGCTCCAGGGCCGAAGCGACCGGCTCCTTTAGTGCTTCTGCCTCCATTTAATGGAGCAGCCGGCCCAGCTTCTGCGTCTAAACAGGAGGGATTGTTGCCTCCTTTTCCATCAGCCCAGGCCCACTTTGTGCACGTGTGCGTGCACGTGCACAGGAAGCCCTGCATCTCAGGAGCTCAAAGTTTTAGTTTCGAGTTTCGTGTTAAAAGAGGCTGATTAAGATGAATGGAGCGGCTCCAAACTGGATGCCTGTGTTGGAAAACGGACATTTTTCTCGCTTAATGACTTCCATAGTCACAGCTTTCAGTATTAGTTTTAATCTGGCCTTGAGTTGTTTTAGAGATTTCTACCATAAAAAAAATAAGAAAATCAGGAAAAAACTGCCAAACATTCAAGAGTATTTGTGATTCATTAAGGGCAAAAATGTCTCCTAGAAATGGACTTAAATAGATTACTTATATTTTCTTAACTTTTTGGGGGTTTTCAGTTTAAGAGATTTCTGCTGGAAAAATCATTGGACTGATGTTTTGTTTGAGGATTTCGCCATTTGAAATTCATTTAATGTTTAAATCATCTGGACAGTAATTAAGTTTGAGCTGTGCAGAAGTCCTTTAAAAACACAGCTTCTTCGATCCTGATCAACTGAAGTTGGAAATGCATCCAGAACGATGAGGCTGGATGGGATAAATCCCATATTTGTTTGATTTTGGGGCTAAAGAAAGTCTGCATCCGAGATTTCAACAAGTCTGCTACTCATTTCATGCAAATAAAACTCTGAGATCAGCAGTTTTTAGGCAGAATCGTAGCGCTGCTGCGTCATTCTGCTCCTTTGATTATAATAACAGGACGCATCCATCAGGCTGCTTTAAACAGAAATCAGCTGAATAAAATGTAGCTTTGGGAGGGCGAGACGTCCAGGAATTCTGCTGTTTAAAATCCCTGTAAGTGCTCAGTTATGAAGTATTTCTTTATGACATAAAACATTCCCATCTGCAGTTGTATTTATGCTGCAGTATCATAACAGACTGTACTGTTACTTTATGATTCACAAGGAGAGAAAATTTAGTTTGGGAACAAATATGAAGTAATCTGCAAATAATTCAAATAAACTTAAAGAAAAATCAAACAAAATCATGAAAAACTACCAAACATTCAAGATTTTTCATGATTTTAGTCATTAAGGGCAACATTTCCTATTAAAACTGCTCTAAAATTGATTAAATTTAAATGTTTTTGGGAGGAATTGATCAATTTTAGAGATTTACGTTTGAAATAAAAATTTTTCATTATTTTAGGCATTAAGGGCAGCAATGTATATTCAAATGTTCTACGATAGGTTAAAGTGGGGAATTGATCAGTTTGGGAGTTTTTCGTGAATTTTTCCAATCAGAAAAACTGTCTGTTAAAAATGCACTAAACTAGAGTGGATTGATATTTTTCTGCTTCTTTGGGAGGAAATGATCAGTTTTAGAGAGGTCTTCTGGGAAAAACAATGATAAAACTCCCAAACATTCAAGACTTTTTTTGAAAGATTTTTCATTTTTATAGACACTGAGGGCAAAAGCGTCTATTGAAAGTGCTGTAAAATAGAGTGGATTGATCGCTGACCTTTAACCTCTGCTCTGCATCACATTTTCAGGATCGTTTCTTTATTGGACCTTTCGTATCCTGCCAGATCGTTTATATTAAATCCAAACAGCTCGACCTGTTTGCAGAAGTCACCTGAGGCGAGCTTTATGTGCTAAGACAGATAAAGACGGGCTGGACGTAGAGCTGTCCGGCCTCCGGTTTTCCAGGAAATTACGAGGGGAATGTGCCGTCGGTAAACAGAGACGGGCGGCTGTGGCGTCATGCAGGCAGAAGGCTGCGTAAAACTCCTTAAGATTTGCCATCTGCCAGCTGGAAGCTGCTAAAAATATCAATTTCGGCCGCTCCGAATGGCAGAGAATGCCTCTGTGACGCAACTCCTGCCATTTAAATCTCTAAAACGGCTCCAAACCTGCTCAAAACTGCCAAAAAAATTAAGATTTTTCAGAATTTTGGTCACAAAGAAGCAAAAACGTTGAGTGAAAAATGCAGTAAAATAGACTGGATTGACATTTTTTGGGGAGAAACTATCAGTTTTAGAGAAAAAAAATCATGAACAACTACCAAACATGCAACATTCTTCAGGATTAAGTGCAAAAATGTCTAAAATGTCTATTAGAAATACACTAAAATAGATTAGATTTTAATATTTTATTTATTTTTTGGGAGGAAACGATCAGTTTCAGAGATTTCTGCTGGAAAAATCATGAAAAAACTACCAAAACTCAAGATGTGTTTAGATTAGATTAGATTAGATTGATCTTTTCCAGCTTTTTTGTTAGCATTGATCAGTTTTAGAGATTTCTGGTGGAAAGAAAAGCCACCAGTACCTGTTCAGGTGGTCCCCCCCCCTCACTCCTCTGTACCTGTGCCTCCAGGTGAACCTGGGCAGCCACCAGTACCTGTTCACGGTGGAGGCCGACCCGGGGGCCATGCCCTGCCTCTGCCTCCGGCACGACGTGGACGCCCTGGTGTGGCAGCCCCGCCCCCAGCAGCCCGCCGACCCGTGGGAGCACGTGGCCACCTTCAACGCTCTGGGTGAGAGGAAATGCCCCCCCATTACTGACCATAACAATAATACATCATTACAAATATTATAATAATGATAATAATAGTGAAGCTAATAATAATAAGATTATTATTATTAATAATAAGGATAATGGTGATAATAATAATAATAATCATGATAATAATAATCATAATAATTATAGCAATAATAGTTACAATAATAAATCATAATAATAATAATAATAATAATGATAAGAAATATTGAAATCAACAATAGTGATAATTATGAAAATGATGAATAATATGAATAATAAAAGAATGAAAATACTACTACTACTACTAATAATAATGAAAACAATAATGATTACAATAACTGTAATAATAATGATAACAATAATTATAATGATAATTCAGTTTTAGTTTTGATCATCCTTTGGTCTGCGGACCTTCTACAATCAGACTTCTTAATCAGAAGTAATAATGTTCTTTAGTATTTTATTTTTTACTAAAACAGATATCAGAGAATTCATTGATAACAATAATAATTCAGTTTTATTGTTAAAAATAATTTAAAACCTAGATTTCCTGTTTTTTCTCCCTAAATTTCAGCAACTCGGAGCTTCTCTGAGGAGAACATTGAGCCACTAAAACTCTGTTTTCTGTTTAGGAAATAAACAGAATCAGACTCCTTAATCAGAAATAATGACATTTTTTTGTGTATTCATTTATTTTTTTGTCAAACAAGAATATTTGAAAATAGATTGATAACTATAAAAAGCGAAAATCCTTCCAGCTCTTCTGGAAAGAAGAACCAGGAGGTCACAAGTCGACATTTTCAACATTTTTAACGCTTTTAATTGGACTCCTGCCCTTTTCCCGCCGACTGACAGTGTTTTGTGCTGGTCGTGCACGTGGCGGTGCACGCTGGAGGTGGGGGGGGTGCATAATGCAGTTAGACGCGCAGCATGTCGGCCTTTCTGCTAATCAGGTTTGTCATTTACCTGATTAGCAAACAATTATCTGCTCTGGAGACGATGAGCTGCACTTTAATGTTTCTGAGTGGAGACGAAACACAGAAGAAGGCTAAAAAGCTGCATTTTCTGAAGCCCAAAATGATGCATTTGTAGCATAGATAGGCAGCAGAACAACTCCTCTCCAGGTTTAAGGCGGGAAGTGATGCTAAAAGCTATGCTAATGAGAAAAAAAAACCTAATCTGGTGACAGATTGAACAGATTTTCAGCAGAAAAGTGCTTTTTTTCCCTAATTTTTTTCCCCCCGCCGTCCTTTAGGCTAATTTCCTGATGATTTTGGGGTTTATCCACACTGTCCTCCCTTTTAAAATGGGTCCCTTTGGCTGCTTCAGTCCACCGTCGTAGGACGTTAAATCAGTGGGAGTTTTGGATTCAACCGTTATGAGTCTTTTAGATGTATATTAATGGTTTCATTCAGGTTCTAATCCATTGTGGGAGGTTAAGATGCCTTTTTTTGACAATTTTTAACGAATTCTTTCTGTCTTTTCAGCCCCGTTTTGGGGCTTCTGAGCTCTTTTTGTGGTCCTTTGGCCTCCTCTTTTGTCCTTTTAGTACCTAGTTTCAGATCTTTAACATGTATATTCATGGTTTCATTCCGTTTCTAACCAACTTTGGGAACTCTTGGATGGCTTTTAAGACACAATGACAGCTTTTGTGATGTTTCCACCTCTGAAGAATCCTCAAAAAGTCAAAAGAAAGCAGAAATGCTCCTTCGTGGGGCAGAAAGAGTTAAATCGCCGGAAGAAGAAACATCTGAACGATCTAACGGAGCTGTTTTCTCTCTGAATAAACCTCTCAGGTTATGTTCAGGCGTCCAAGCGGGACAAGAAGTTTGCCACCTGCGCCCCGGACTTCTCCTTCGCGTCGCTGTGCGAGTGTCTGCGCCGCGTCTTCATCTACCGCCAGCCGGCGCCGGTGGAGACGCTGCTGGTCAACAGGAAGCAGGGCCGGCAGGTGGGGCAGGTTGCCAAGCAACAGGTGGCCAGCCTGGACTCCGACCAGCCAATCCTGGGCTTCCGAGCGACCAACGAGAGACTGTTCGTGCTGACCGCCACCAATCTGTTTATTCTAAAGGTCAATAATAATTAGATTCTCCGTGGCGGCGCCCCCCGGAGGGCGTTTGAGGGCGGCCTCTTCTCCCCATGTGCTCCGTTTCTGTGTGTGATCAGCTGATTGTGTCCCCAAATAAAGTTTTTCTAGAATTCTTGTGTTCTACGGTAAATTCATTAGGAGGGAAACAGCCTCGATGCGGCGCCACGTGTTTTAAAAAAAAAACAGAAATCTGAACGTTTTCCACTGATTTTCACCTCCAGACGCTCAGATGAGGTCACTTCCTGTTCAGGAAGGCTCCTTTATCACGTTCACACGCATCCTATGACGTGCACGGACCAGTGTCTAAGGTAATTTTTGACTTTTTTAACAGCCTCAGGATCCTCAGTTTCAGCCACACGGTGCATTCAGGGGCTGGTACAAAGCTGGGACATCTGGGTTTTAATCAATCTAATTTTGTTGACACAAAATGAGGAAAAACGACTTCCTGTTTATGAGGTCATGGGAGATTCTGACTAATTTTTTCAGGCTCCTCAGTTTCCGCCACGTGATGCATTCAGGCATTCAATTTATTATAATAATAATTATATTATGTTATGATAGTTATAGAAATATAACAATTATAATATTCTTATACGTTTAAGTGTCTGTGGAAGTGGGGCTAGGGGATCTGAGATGTCCTTATTTAAGAGGGAGGCCTGTTGGGGGTGGGGGGGGACTGTTTGACTGTCTGGTGGTTTGGGTCCTGATGGGTATGAATCTGCTTTATTTGTCATCGTTTCCTGTCACGACTCGGATGTGTGTGCGCGGCCGGCTGGTGGCAGCTTTGCCAGATGGTCGGCGGGGGGCCGGACGCTGAGGGAATCCCTCTGCTGTTTGGATTTGTTGGAGGATGGACAGATTCGATTCAGAGCCTTTAAAACCTGGAGAAGAGCATCAGCCTGGTCTCTGTCCATGTGTTTTACAGACCCTGAAAAAGCCCAGTTATCTAATGGACCAAGAGGAAGGAGACGGGCTCAAAAGGAGGCCTAATGGAGCCTTTGTGAGGGCAAAGAATTGCCCGCTTTGTGTTTTTGTGCTTCACACAGGCAGTGGTGGATCAGATCCATAACAAAATCCACCTCTGGACAGAAAAAGATCCATATCTGCACTTTTCATACCAAACCAGCTTCACCAGGAGCTTTAATTCTGTCCTTTTCCTGCTGTGGACTGTGTTTCTGATTCATGTTTTCTCTCTTTGTGGTCATTTTGTGTCTCTTAGTGGTTGATTTGTGAGTCTTTGTTGCACCTTTGTGATGTTTTCACATCTTTTTCGCCATTTATTGGGATTTTTCTAGTAATTTTGTTTCCAATAAATGTATTTCCTTTCATTTTGTGAATGTTTGTAGACCTTCTGTGTGTTTCTTCCCTGTTTCTGGTCACTTTATGTCGCTTAATTGTTGCTTTGTGAATCTTTGTGATACCTTTGTGATGTTTCAATATCTTTTTCTTAATTTATTTGTATTTTTTGGGTAGTTTGGTGTTCAACAAATTTATTTTGCTTCATTGGGTATTTTTGTGGTCATTTTCTGTGTTTTTGGTCTATTTTTGGTCCCTTTGTGTCTCTGGGGAATGTTTTTAGTCTCTTTGTGCCTATTATCTGTTAGTTGTGTGTCTCCATCAGCTCCCATCTCGGAGCTGTGAGCCAGGACTCGGTCAGCGTCCTGCGAGGCGTCCAGCCGGCTGTTGTTATCACCTTTTGGGGAAAATCCAGTTTCCCTGAGGCTTGATTGGATTATTGGTGTGTAATTGTGTTACCATGCAGCACTTGTTTTGTTAGATCCACCAGCAAAAACATCTGGATACAGGGAATATATATATATGTATGTATATATATATTTTTGAAAATAATTTATTAATGTGGAGAAAAAACTTCACAAAGTTTAAACCTTTAAAGCCTGATTCTAGTACAAAAAAAAACAAAATTATATGATATTATATTATTAATTATATTATTTTTGCTCTGATGGCAGCTTCCATTCTTCCTCTGGTGGTTTTTCTCTCCTCTGACAGTTTTTCTGGTTATTGAGTCCCTCCGAGGTTCCAGCTGCTCTTGCTCTGGGTTAAACTTCTGTGTGATCAGTCTCTGGATCTCCTGACCCCCACGTGGCCTTTGCCTTTTTAGTCTGATGAAGCTGTGGACACAGTTTACTCATTTCTGCTTTATTCCCTTTGCAGTTGTTGGAAAAGCCGCTGGACACGAAGCTGAAAATGCTCATTACTCCAGCCTCCGTGTGCAGTAACGAGCATTATGCTCCATTACGGCAGAACGGGTTCTTTTTATGGGGGTAATGAACCAGAAATGTCTCTCCTTAGCTCGTCTGCTCCTCCTTTTCTTAATCTGCAGCTCAGATCTGCCGTTCAGACGTTTTCTGGGGCTGTTTGGACTCTTCCAGCAAACAGATGTGATGCTTTGGTTCCCGTTTGGTTCTTGTTTTAGCTCCCATAGTTGGTTCCCGCCTATTGGTTCCTATGCTTTGCTTCCTATGTTTTGTTCTCATCTTTTGGTTCCCGCCTTTTGGCTCCTGTTTTGGTTCCCGCCTCTTGGTTCCTGTATTTTGGTTTCCGTCTTTCGGTTTGGTTTAATATAATTGGACTTTATTTAATGAATGATTGCAGATTATTTTAAAGATAAAAGACATTTGAATTTCCCTTGTGGAGAATAATTTAATTTTCACACAGAGGAACATCTGTGTGGGGAATTCTTTAGAAAATCACAGAAAATATTTATATGGGAAGCACTTTGTTTAATTTGTCCCACACAAAACACCAAATCTTGTTTTGCTGACCCACACTGGAAAGTATGAAAATGTGTCATCTGAATTTTATGGTGTTCAAAAGGTTTGAACTAAATAAATCCACATATTTAACCATTTTTCAGAAACATCTTTATTACACAAAGACAGAAAGTACAAATTCCATCAAAGCGATCACGATAAATCACCACTCAGCTGGAAGCAGCAGAACAAACAGAGAAAGCTGCAAAAACCCTTAAAACCGACGCAGAGCTGAAGCCACGACACAGCCTACAAAACCGCCAGAGGTCAAAGGTCACCGCCAGGCCCAGGCGATGCTTCCTGGAGAGGTTTAAGAGCTGAAACTAAGGCTGGAAACCGGTATAACACCCACAAAAACTGACTCTGAAATCCTCTGGCAACGTTTGGACTGCAGAGAATATATATTTTCTATCCTGTTTGCATTGAAAATGGGGGGAAAAAACTGAGAAATCCCACCTGGTTTGTTCAAATGGATGAAAAAGAAGCCACAATGTCTGTTTTAAATTAGATTTTTTCCCCTTACATACATTGAGTTTTTAAGAGTTTTTTTTTGTCTAAAACAGATTTTAAATCTGAAATTTTGTAGTTTTATTTGATGAATGATTACATGTGAGTCAGTCTGGGGATAAATTCTATTCCAGAAACAAAGCTGAGCCTCATAAATGAAGTCAAAACTACAGTTAAAACCGAGCAAGTTGCTCCGATTGACTCTGATCAGGTGTAGGAAAAAATAACGACTCTAACCTCTGATGTTTTCTGCAATCAGCCACTTAAGGCTTCTCATTTGGGGAGTTTTTCCACCACTTCGTGACCTTTTGTCTTCCTTTGTGGGTCATTAAACTCCAGCCGGCCACGCAGAGATAAGACGACCATCTGGGACAGCCCATTTCACAGCTCAAACAAAACTCAAACAACAAAAACTGCCATAAAATCTTTACAGATGAATATTTTAGGGCTTTTTTTTTCCTGCACAAAACTCCAGTGCTGCTCTAAAACCAGGATTTGAGTCATAGATTCTGAAAACGTAAGTCTGAAAAAGCTCTACAGCTTATTTAAACTGATGTTTTTCACCTTTCTTCTGTTAAATCTCTTGAACAACTGAAGTCCGGATAAAATTGATCAAGATTTTAACCCTTTATAAGCCAGTTTGAGCACATATTCTTAATTTTTTCATTAACAAAATAAACAGAAAACGTATTATTCACATACAAACAGGGATTTTTCCTTTTAAAGTAGATTTACAGATAAAAACATCAATAATAAAAATACAGATTAACAATATTTAAACGTACGAAGTAGGTACCAGAACAAATTAAATCGACATGTAGAGGTTCTGCTGTATTGAGTGCTGGGGAGGTGATGTTGACTCAGACACCTTACATAAGGCGGGCGGGCTTCAGATAAGATAACAGCCCCTGGTGGGGGGGGTGCCCTGTGTTCTGCCGGCGGCGGGCGGCTTTACAACGTCCGGATCGGCTTCAGCCGCCCGCAGCGCCCTCGTTACGCGCCGCTGGCTGGGATCTGTGTTTGGTCTGCAGGTGTGGAAAAGGTCAGCAGGTACTCAGGAAACAATATTCCCACTTTGGAGACGCCATCCAGCCAATGTCTAGACTGTTTTCAGGTGTTGCTCCAAGATGGAGGAAGGAGCTACCAGGCCTACAGAGCAGCAGGTCCCTGTCGGTCTTCATAAACTCCTACAGACCCACATCCTCACAGACCACCTCCTATCCTGAGTCCTCCCCAGACCTCTGGACCCTCTACTCCTCTTTCTGAGCTTCCCTCTATCTCCTACCGTCTCCACTGACTCTGACTGGGGGTTTTGCTCCAGAGAGCTGATTGTCAGATTGATGAGAACTGGAACATTGTGTCTACTTTGTGAGTCGCTTTGGATAAAAGCGTCTAAATGCAGAAATAGAAACCCGGAGAGAACCCACACAGACACAGAGAACATTCAAACTCCACAGAGAGGTCCTGGTTCCCCCGGGGACTCGAGTCCAGAACCCCGATCCATCCATTATCCATCCATCCATTATCGTAACCGTTTATTCCCTAATGGGGTCTCAGGGGAACTGGAGTCTATCCCAGTAGCCAATGGGGAGAGGCGGGGTCACCCTGGACGGTCCCCAGTCCATCACAGGGCCACACAGAGACACACAACCACACATACTCACACTCACTCTTAAGGGAGGTTTGGAGGGTCGAATCAACCTAACATGCAGGTTT